TAATGAGCGACGCTATGCCTGAGCCGCCCTCCGAGTGGCCGATCTTGTCCTTCAACACACCCAACGGCAAGGGGTCCGTACGGCCCGGTCTTTGGCAGTACGCGTTATATATGGCCCGCACTTCTTGGGTGTCGCCCGCCTTTTGTGGACATAAATTATAAGTTTATATACAATTGTATATATTATTAATTAATAATTTTAACAATTAAAAATAACTAATACATGTATATTATGAGCCATAATTTATGGTACAATCATGATTCTAGAATATTTTTAATAAGTAAACTAATTATGACACAACATAGAGATCTTACTGTACAAAAATCAATGCACGCATACCTTAGTGCCGGTACAGTGAGCCTCGAAATAAGTGAGTCGCCGCGGGTCGACACCGGCGTCGGTATACGTGCGGACCATCAGTGCCTCCTGAGCCTCACTTGAAGGGAAAAACATGCCGACAGTCTTATTGCCGTCGACGCCCATACGGGCGGCCAATACTGTGGCGTATATACGCCGGGCGTCGGCCCGCCGGCGAAGGTAAACGGCGCCCACAGTCTCGCCCTTCACGAACCCGTCGGCCGACTCGTCCATCACCGCCGACACGCCTCGAGGCGAGCATATGTTAAGCGACTGTTGGCACTGGTATAGGAACGGCTCGAACATCATATACGCCCCGCACACTATCGCACCCTCCACGTGACCTAGGTAGTTATTTTACCAAAGTAATTAACATTGTAACTTTTTGTAATTACATATACACATTTCTGCGCTGCACTTAATATCAACATATATTGTAGTTTAGCACATAAATATACCTAGTAGCAAATCATTGACGGCCAAAGTCATGGCCGACAAACTGGCCGAACAGGCGGTGTCCACAATAAGCGACGGACCCTTGAAGTCGAACGCATAGGATATACGGTTGGCGTTCAGTGTTTTCATATTAGCCATCGTCTGAAACATTGCCGTCTCGTTGGCGGCGCTTAAATCGGGTTCAATCTGTTCGGTCAGACCGTCGACCATACCGTACAGCGAGAGACCCACGTATACACCCGTTTGGCTGCCCCTAAGGTCCTGTGGGTTAACACCTATTTTGGGTTTATTAGACAAAAATAGCATTAAATATAACTAAAATAATTATTTTAAAATACAACACATCAAGTTCCACTGTACTAAAATGTACCTGAATCAACAATGGCCTCATAAACCACCTCGAGCAGTATTCGCCCATGAGGGTCCCACTCATCCACCATGTTTTCCATGAGACCGAAAAATGATGAGTCAAATTGCTTAAAGTTCTTGATTTTTCCCATCCGTGAATTTATGCCCAATAAATCTGTTTAATTTAATTTAATAGATTATAACTGTAATTAATTAATTAATTAAATGAGATAAACATGCTCATATAATTAATAATCTGTAATTCATTTACTACAAGAAACTGTAATCTCATATTCATTATACAATTTATATTATTTTAGAAATTTTTATTGTTTATAAATCGGGATCTAAAATTAAATGCAATTATTGTAATTTTTATATGTTTATAATTATTTTTAAAAATATTTATGGTTAATAAATTATGAATATTAAGTTTTCAATAATAATTACTTAAATTTGCGTGATATTAAAGGGGTGCAGTTAGGGTGCTACAGTAAAATGTATACTCACAAATAATGTACTTTAATATAATGAATATTTGAAAAAACTCCTTGGTGATTCAATAACCAAGTCAAGTTTATAATATCCCCTATTTTAACCTGCACGCTTTTAATATAGACATACCTTTTGGCCACCGGCTCTCGTCATCGGTAATCATATCGCGTCCGGCGTAGAGATTGTGTGCGAACTCGTCCACAGTGTCCGACATCGGGAACCGACCGGACATTCCGGTGATCACTATATCTTTGTCTGACATTTTAGTTGTCTATGTATTTGAATGCATGAAACTTAATTAATTGGATTATTAATATAATAGTTTTTAGTAGTTTTAACTTTGCATTTAATGATTAATTTTAATAATAATAATTTACATAGTATACCTGTTAATATTTTATGGTTTAAAATATTGTATCAAATTATGCTTTCATAGACAAATTGACAAAATGATCTTTATTGTGTTCCGGCTTAAATATCTTAATAAAATTTTAATTATTCATGATTTATTAAATAAAAAACAAGATGATAAAATTATTTAATTTTTATTTACTAATAATTATAATTTTTAATTAATTTTTTGACGTAAATGACATTTTTACAATGAAGTGACAATTTATTATAAATATTTGTTTGTATTTTAAATCAATTATTTGTAAATGTTGCTGGAAAATTTTATTTAAAAAATACAATAATATTATTGATATTATACATAAATTATATTTAATTTTTTTGTAAACAATATTAAGAATAAAATTATATTGACGTAATAAAATTCAAGCAGTTATAATATTTTACTTATATTGTATTATAAACTTTTATATTAATATAATAATATGATGTACGGTCCGATTGACGCATTCAACCCTGCTACAATGTTTATTGATTTGTTTGCAAGGTTGGGCTGGGTTTACGACATGCGACATGTGGATGTTATTATATTATGTTATTTATTAAAATAAAAATATTTATTATATAATTTGCATTCAACTATTGAGTAATAAAAATTACTATACAGTATACTTTACACTTACTTATTATTACAAATTATAACAATTACTAAATTACTGTATGTACATAAATACATACTGTATATGTATGCTGGGCATGATCAAGTAGCTTGATAATATTTTTAAATAATTTTCCAAAAACTTATAAATTATGTAATTTTATTATAATATTTTTTATTTATTATACATAGTAAATAGTATCCATGCATAATTAATATATGCATTTTATTTTAATAGAATAAAGAATGTTTATAGATATTAATTTTTAAATAACGCTTATTCATTTATTAAGTAATTTAGTAGAGTCACGGTCTAAATACATTTTTAAAATCAATTAGCTGAAATAATTTTGAACAATTTTCACTAAAATATTTGACACAAATACAATAATTTTATAATAAATTCGAAAATTGTAATTATTTATTTTAAGACAATTTTAAACTACACCAAATGTGACAGGTAATTATTCCATAAACCAGCTATAATAAACGGGTAGAACATGAGCATTAAGTACAGGGTGGCCGTCACCCACTCATACACCCTGTTTGTTTTGGCGGTCACGTTTGCCTGACCCGTGCGTTTCATGCGCTGCTTAACCACATCCCGGGGCGCGCGGCGCATGTCGTAGGCCCAGCCCAACCGGGCGAACAAATCAATAAACATTGTAGCAGGGTTGAATGCGTCAATTGGACCATACTCGCTCATCGAATAGTCCCTAGATGGTTAAATATGATAAAACAATTATTATATTAACTTATTAAGCTTAATTAATAAGGGTTTGATGTGAATTTAGTAGGCAAGAGATATTGCAAAATTTTTAACCATGGGTAAGTGTGGTGATAGTTGTGAAAGCCCTCGCCCAGCATCACGTGCCTTATCGTGCACTCTGTAGCCTCGATGTGCTTATCGTATGGCTATTTTTATAATGATAAAAATTACTACATGGTCAAATTACTATACAAGCAAATAGTAGAATTAAATTTAAAAATAATAAAACAAACCAAACCTTGCTGCCCCAATAGTGGGCTGCGCTATTAATGCACCATGTTGAATTCAGTGTATACGTATACCTATACATAACGCATACAAACCAGGCCACAGAGATACCATGGTATTAGCGTAGGCATAGCGCCCCATATGACCAACGCTAGTGGCACGTGATAGCGACGTTCAAACTGTACCAATAGATCATGGTCCAAATCGGACATGTCAATGGTGTGACCCTGGGCAATTACCGATGGATGTTTGCGGCACAGTAGCCAACCTATATGGGCAAAGAAAAAGCCCCGTTTGATACTATAGGGGTCGGCATCTGTATCGGCACACTTGTGGTGCACCCGATGGTCACGTGACCACTTGTATATGTCGTCCTGAAAGGCCAGTACGTATAGGAAAGCCAACAGGTATTGGAGTACAGGTTTGGCTTTGTAGGTCCGGTGGCACCAAAGCCGGTGCACTCCGCACTAGGTCATTTAGATTGTATGTGTTTTAATTAAATTAGTATTAATATTATAACTGTTTGAACATTGGTAGAAATCATTTGTTTGAGATAGTCTAATTATAAATAATTATGTTAACAATTATATTGATAATTAATGTTAAATTATTAAATTAATTGTTCGTATCTCTTGTTAGTATGTTGGTAATAGAATTTTGATAGTGTAAAATCTTTTTATCTTTTTAATAGTGTCAAATTAAATAACCTAGCACTTCTGTTCTTTTAATAAAAATACTATGGTAAAAAGATAACAAAAATGATCTATGCAGTTTTGGTTTACACTATGGTGTGCTTACCTGAGCACCAATTGTTGATAAATGTGCAAGTAGATACGCAAACAAAATAGTTTTTATCTGTGCCGATTTTATGCCCAAGTAGATTCCGTATACTGCAGCTACGTGCAATAATATCGCCATGGTGATATTGTACCAGTATAACTCTAGCTTAAATTCTGGCTCAAGCTTGTCATTATTTGATACATCATGATCGCTAAATTCTCCGCTTATATATGATTTTGATCTATTGTTATGATAATAAAGTAGCATTAATTTTAAATTTATCAAGATATGACTTTACATCTTACTTGTTTCGTATGGTGCCATTAAATTTGTTGTTAATATTGTCTGGTAATAAATTTATGTTAACATAATATCGTTTATTAGGATTATGATCATTATTTAATAGTTTACATATACCTGTGTTATTGTTGGCCTCATTATCGGTAATTTCTGGACACATTCCGGACATTTGGCCGCTGTTTGCGGGTAAAACTTGATCCGAAATATTGTCCATTTTTGTTGACTATAATAGTGTTAATTTAATTAAAAGTTGTGATTATTATTTTTTTAAATAAAATATTTGATCTATGGTCTTTCTATTTGATTTTACAAATTAAACAGTTTATTATTATAGCAACTATTTATTAAGTTATAGTTTTATTTAAGATTTAATAAATAAGGAAAATATTATTATATTTTATTTATCATAATTGACATATTATAAAATTAAATTTTAAATAACTTATATATTACTTAATTAAAAATTTTATATTGCTACAATAAAGTTGTAAATAGATATGACGTTAATAAAAATGCAAAAACAATTATTGATAAATAAATATGTTGTTAAAAACAATAAAATTTAAATTATAAAATTGTTTGTAAAAATTAATTCTAAGAAAAAAATTGACGTCAAATTTTATTTATTTGTTAATATAAATAGAATAATCTTACAATTTTTTATTATGTTAATTTAATATATTTTTTTGTCTATTTAATTACTGACATATACTGTAGTTATAAACTAAATAATATTGTGTTTGTAAATTAATATTTTTTAAATGTAACCTTTGGCATTATTTTATAATTTTAATATAGCAACGCTATCTTTAGATATTATAAAATATTAAACTTGATTAAAAAATTTATTTTGTTTTATGAATATTTAATTTATAAAATGAACATAAAATTGTAATCTTAATACACATCTCAATAATATACTGTGCTAAAGTATATGCATAAATATTACTATTAGATAAAATAGTATTTGAACAGAATTATTAACTAAAATATTAAATTACTTAAACATTAACTAAAAATAACATATTTCTATTTAACAAACAACGAGAATTTGTTTTATTATCTTAATAATATTAAAATTTACATTGTTATAATAATTAAAATAACAATAAACAATATAAATCATTGCATTTTATCTTTATTATATGAGTTAACATAAAAACGGTAAAACATATAAAAGAACATAAATGGCTGCCAAGTGGCCAACCATTGTAAGGCTATGGGATAATCAGTGGTCAGACCATAATATATGCTTATAAGTAGAGCCAAACCATAGATGACAAACTGTAATAACTGTATTCGTGTTATGTATCGCTTCCACCATAAGTAGGGCTGAATCCAGGGTCCGAATGACGACACCAGGTAATAGCTATACATAACGGTATGCACTATAGAGTTGACAAAACAAACAATTTCAAAAATAACGGTTTGCGGACACAGTTTTAATACCATATATGCCAATATAGGAGCTGTAAGATAATTAATATTAATTTAATATTAGTTTGTACATATATATAGAATAGTTTTATCTTTCACTGTGACATTTAAAATGCATGGTTTTTTTAATATAAAATTTGATAAGTTTAATGACAGTAAACTAGATTGCTAACTTATGTTTAAATTGTTTGATATCGAGAGTTATTAATTACATATCTTAATTAAATAGATGTTATAATAAATAATTGTGTAATAAAATACATGTGTACTTAAAAAATGATGGTAAACATGAAGAAACGAGATTTGAGTAGACTTTCTACGTAACACAAAGAATATGGTATCGAATAAATCAAATAGTTTTGTGTAAAAGTAGATTATTTTATCGGGTAATTCATCGACCGCTTTATCCGACCACTTGTTACGGGCCGGCAGTCTAACAACCCATGATTTGAAGCCATAGTCAAGCCATTTGGCCGCCGTGTATGCAAAATAAACATTAATAAAAACCAACATTAAATTATATACCATAAGTGTTTTGCGCAAAACAAACGGTTTTTGGTCAACCATTATATTTGGGCCCAATTTTACAACAAATATTAGCCATAATAGCATTAGGGTTACAAACAGCTCCGGTCCGCCCCCTAACAGGACATAGGGTTTAATCTTGTCGTCCGTCTCGTCGACCCAATACTGGTGTAATATGTAATGTATTTTAGCCGTATATGTCGTCCCATTATTTGCCATCATCTTTGAAATAATAATTTTAACTTCAATTGTGATTCTATTTTGTGCGTTTTACTGAAGTCAAGTCATGCTAAGAAGCTTTGAAGTATTTTATTAATTGCTTAATTAATTACCTAGTTCAGTTTGAAAGTTTGAATAATTATTTATGCAAAATTTTATATATTGTTAGTAATAAAATTTTTATAAATAAATAATTTTATTGATTTTTAAATTAATTTCTGTATTAGAGAGAGAGAGAGAGAGAGAGAGAGAGAGAGAGAGAGNAACCAATCCATACATACATATCAAAAATGAATGAAAGAGAGAGAGAGAGAGAGAGAGAGAGAGAGAGAGAGAGAGAGAGAGAGTTTTTATTTTGTGAAATAAAAATTTGTAAGTTTTATTTTGGTGAAAAAACTTTATTAATCATAATAAATTTATGTGAAATAAAAAACTATACTGTAATTACTACTTGTTTGTCAAAAACACGCTAATGTATTCAATATTAAATTTTATAATATTATCAAGCATAAATATTAATTAACAATATAATAATTTTTAAGAAAAGTTTGTCTTAACTAATTATCATAAAAGAATTTAATAATAATAATAAAATTTTATACTATTGTAAATTCCATATAATTATTTTAAAACATGAATATAAATATTAATTATTTTACAGACCTATGTTAAACATCAAAAGCTTTATTAATATAATCTCGTTTTTATTTTTAATTACAAATTAAACATATATTTATTAAAGTGTGCTTAACTTAAACTGGTGAAACAGTGATATATTACAATAAAGATTATAACTATTTAAAATATATAAACTAAATTTAATATTAAAATGGTGATTACCGTTTCACCTAGCATGGATGATTTAACAAACCCGAGCAATAAAGTGACCATGGATGATAATTGTATGTTTAACATTATTAATACTTTTTTAAACCTTATTACTATTAAAAGCTTTACATATTTACTTTGATCATGATCACACAGACCATTTATTGAATAAACACCAAATAAATGAGGTGTATCACAACATTGAAACCCAATCAAATGAAATTAAGTATTATCATATTATACTAATTAAAATGCACATGCTAATTTACATGCATATACTCAGATTAAAAACAGGCAAATTCAATCTCGACCATAGCAATTATAAGAAAGTTTATCAAGTAGAGATAATATGGTGGCCCAACGTTGTGGCTATGGTCATATTGTACATGGCCGGTTTATACGGTTTATATCGGGGCATGTTTTACGCCAAACCACTCACTATTATCTACATGTATGTAATGGCAATAATTGCTGGACTGGGTGTACAGGTATTGTATCATAATATCCACTAAACAAATTATCTAGTTTAAATTGTTATAGCCGTATTACTCTCATATAGTTGCACACAAAATTTAAATAAAAAATTAATTACTATACTGCTCAGATATAACTTCAACAAAAATTGTAACTATATGCAGAATAATACGGTAAAAAGAATTTTAATCAAGCATAATAATTAAACAAATCAAAAAATATAGTGTGGAGTACACCGGCTATGGTGTCACCGGACATATCGGGCCAATCGTGCCCTGCAATACATACTGATGGCAATGTTTACGCTGGCATTTCAGGACAACATATACAAGTGGTCACGTGATCACCGCACACATCATAAGTACTCGGACACCGACGCCGACCCGCACAACATTAATCGTGGTTTCTTTTTCTCGCACGTGGGCTGGTTGCTGAGCAAAAAGCACCCTGATGTTAATAAACAAGGTGCACTCATTGACATGACTGATCTGGACCGGGATCATCTAGTTCAATTTCATCGACGTCATTATATGAAATTAGTGGCGATTATATGGGGTGTTATACCAACACTAATACCCTATTATCTATGGGGCGAGACTTTATGGGACTCTTATTTTGTGTGCGTAATGCTTAGATATTTAATTAGCTTAAATTTTGCCATGTGCATTAATTCTGTGGCACACTATTGGGGCAACAAGGTACGTTTATAATTTATTTGTTTAGGGTGTATTTATATAATATTTTTATATACTTGTTATAGCCGTACGACAACACAATAAACCCAACCGAGTGTTATGTGAGGCATATGATGCAAGGCGAGGGTTTTCATAATTACCATCACGCGTTTCCATGGTAACTAGATTTCTAAAAAATTATATACCAAGCGTTTATAAAATTTATAAAATTAAATATGCAATTATTGTACATTTTTAATCACTAGGGACTATGGGTGCAGCGAGTATGGTCCGTTTGAAGTATTTAACTTGGGCACACTATTAATTGATTTTTTTGCATGGTTGGGCTGGGCGTACGACATGCGTCAAGCAACACCCGAGATGGTCGATCAACGTAAAAAACGTACCGGCGATTTGAGCTGGGTTAAAAGTAGTAGGCTCTATGAATTGTTTACGGTCAGCTTGTTTTTTGTCGCGTTAGCATTCCCATTTGTTCTTGGTTATTTACTTCGGGTCTAAATATAAACCCATTTATTAAAATAATTTGTTTAAATAAATTATTAATTGTTTAATTAATTACCTAATTTACTTTGGAAGTTAGAATAATTATTTATGCAAAATATTTGTTACTAATAAAATTTTTATAAATACTTTTTAAATTAAAAGTATATCACAGTAAATACATCAAGTTGTTAATATTAATAAGGTGTTAAATAAGTATTAATAGTGTTCAACATACAATTGGAGTCCATGGTCACTTTATTGCGTCGGTTTGTT